AATCCCACTTGGTCTGGGTGGATGATCTTTCTGATGTGTTGTTGCATTCTATTGGCCAGAATTTTATAGAGGATTTTTGCATCTATGTTCATTAGGGATATTGGTCTGTAATTCTTTTTCAATGCTGCATCTTTTTCCGGCTTAGGAATTAAGGTGATGCTGGCTTCATAGAAACAATTTGGGAAGATTCCCTCTTTTTCAATTGTTCTGAATAGTTTGAGTATCTCCTTATTCTTAACAATACCTTCCAAAGATCAGAAGTTTATAATTTTGATGAAATGCAGTTTATCAGTTTTTTTTTCTTTTATGGACATTGTAGCTAAGAAATCTTTGCCTAATCCAAGGTCACAAAGATTTGCTCTGGAAATTTTACAGTTTCAGTTTTACATTTAGTTCTGTGATTTACTTGGGCTTAAATTTGTTGTGGGGTGCTGTTTGGTGCAGTAGTTAAGATGCTGCTAGGGACACCTGCATCCTATATAGGGTGCCTGGGTTGCAGCACTGGCTCTGCTCCCAGTTCTGGCTTCCTGTGAAAATGCACTCTAGAAGGCAGCAGGTGGTGGCTCACGTACTTGGGCCTCTGCCACTCATGCGGGAGTCCAGCAGATGGAAGATTTCTCTCTCTCTCTCTCTCACTCATTCGCTCTGTCATTCAATTAAAGGAAAAAAAAATTTTTAATTTGTGGTTTTTTATTCAAGGTATGGGTTAAGTTTTTTGGTGTTGTTGTTGTTGTTGTTGTTGTGTTATTTTTGCATATGGGTTGCTTCAGTATCATTTGTTGAAAGGTTATCCTTCCACTGAGTTGCTTTGACCTGCTTCTCAAAAATCAGTGGATATATATGTGTGTCTGTGTATTAGAGAGAGAGAGAGAGAGATGGGTGAGATATGTTTTTATTTAATTTTTCCTTAGTACATGCTATCATGATTAGTGTTCTTTTATAGCGAGTCTTGAAATCAGATAAAATGAGTTTTTCCATTTTGTTTTGTCTTTCAATTTTTTCCTGGCTATTTTAGTTCTTTTGGGTTTTTGTATAATTTTTTTTTATTTGACAAAGTTATAGACAGTGAGAGAGAGAGACAGAGATAAAGGTCTTCCTTCCATTGGTTCACCCCCCAAATGGCCGCCACAGCTCGCGCACCACGCTGATCCGAAGCCAGGAGCCAGGTGCCCATGCGGGTACAGGGCTCAAGTACTTGGGCCATCCTCCACTGCACTCCCAGGCCACAGCAGAGAGCTGGACTGGAAGAGGAGCAGCTGAGACTAGAACCCAGCGCCCATATGGGATGCCAGCACCACAGGCGGAGGATTAACCAAGTGAGCCACGGCGCCGGCCCCTATATAAATTTTGGAATAAGTTTGTCAATTTCTATTAAAAAAAAATCTGGGATAGTCATTGGGATTGCATTGAATCTATAGATAAGTTTTGGACAGCTCACATTTTTAACAAAATTGGGTTTCTGAATCTGTGGATATGATATGGCTCTCCATTTGATGTCTTTTATCATTATTTTGTAATTTTTAGCATATAAATCTTGCTACTTTTATAACTGAATATTTTATATTTTTGTGCTATTGTAAATGCACATAATCATTGTTTGTTTATTATTGTGAGAAAATACAACAGATTTTTATATATTAGTCTTGAATCTTGCAATTTTTCTAGATTATTTGTTTTATTAGAACTTTATTAGCTTTATTATATTCACAGTTTCATTTATTCTACATAGAAAAAAATTTTTAAGGTTTATTCATTTATTTGAGAGGCAGAAGTTCAGAGAGAGGAGGGGGAGAGACAGAGAGAAGTCTTCCATCTGCTGGTTCCCTTCCCAGATGGCCGAAATGACCGGAGCTGGGCCGATCTGAATCCAGGAGCCAGGAGCTTCTTCCAGGTCTCCCACGTGGGTGCAGGGGCCCAAGCATTTGGGCCATCGTCTGATGCTTTCCCAGCCCTTTAGCAGAGAGCTGGATTGGAAGTGGAGCATCCGGGACATGAACCGATGCCTTATGGGATGCCGGTGCTGCAGGTGAAGGCCTAACTTACTATGCCGCAGCGCCGGCCCCTACATAGAAAACCTTGACATCCGTGAGTGAGAAGTTTCCCTCCTTCCTTTCCAATCTGGGTGACTTTATTTTTCTCCTCCGCAGATGTATCCCCATTTTTTTTTTTTGACAGGCAGAGTGGACAGTGAGAGAGAGAGACAGAGAGAAAGGTCTTCCTTTGCCGCTGGTTCACCCTCCAATGGCCGCCGCTGCAGCCGGCGCACCGCGCTGATCCTGGCAGGAGCCAGGAGCCAGGTGCTTTTCCTGGTCTCCCATGGGGTGCAGGGCCCAAGCACCTGGGCCATCCTCCACTGCACTCCCTGGCCATAGCAGAGAGCTGGCCTGGAAGAGGGGCAACCGGGACAGAATCCGGCGCCCCAACCGGGACTAGAACCCGGTGTGCCGGCGCCGCAAGGTGGAGGATTAGCCTATTGAGCCACGGCGCCGGCTTATTTTTCTCCTCTTATTGCACTGGCTTGGACTTCCAGTGCAACGCGGACAAGGGTGAAAGATGTCTGCGTCTTTGCTGGGCTTCCTTCATCAGAATGATGACTTGACAGGAAGACCCCGGGCGGGTAGCATTGGTGAGGGAGGGGCTTAGACACTGGGACAGCTGCGGGGCACAGCAGCTCCAAAGCCCAGCTCCCCCCATCCTCTGGGCACCCCCAGCCACTCCACTGCCTCCACGCCTGCGTCCCTCCTGCCCGCGACTCCCCAGCAGGACCCGGCTCTGCGTGCGATCTCTCTGTGGCCTCGGTCCTTTATTTCAGCCTGACCTGGGGAGCATTTTCCCTTCTCACATTCTGTGGTTCCTGCAGTTTGTGTCAGGCTTGGGCCTGCCCTCCCACCTCATCCTGGAGCAGCCCCGCCCAGCCGGGATCGCTGGCCTTGGGGACCTGCGTGTGGCCCGAGCTCTGGCTCACCAGGCAGGGCTCGCTGCATGACCTGCAGCACCCATGTCAGGCGTTGTTCACGGGCCCCAACTCTCGGCCCTTTCCTACCTCCGTCCCCTCCCTGTAGCTCCGCTTGGGGTCACAGGGGCTCTGGGGCTGGACCACACACATCGCAGCTCCGCAGCTCCGCAGCGTGGAGATCTGGGGTGGGTTACTTAGCTACCTCGTGCCTCAACTTCCCCATCTGTGGAAGGGGGCAGCGTGGGTTAACCTGTGTGAGACAGAGAGAGGAGAGGCGGGTCCAGGTGAGTGCCCTGCGTGTCCCTGTGGCTGCGGTGTCAGTGATAGGTGTCTCTGCTTCTTTCTTTGCAGTAGCGCGGTGAACCCCTGCTTAACACCGCAGGCCTCCACCTCCCCTCTTCCTGCATCTTCCTGCACAGCCAGGTTTCCCAGGAGAGGAACATCACTCTGTTCTTCACCATCCTTGGTCCACGTCAGCCCAGGCTCTGCCCGCACTGTCCTGCTGATGCTGCTGTCATGGAGTGGCCAGAGCCAGAGGCCAGTCCTCAGACGCGGCTGCTGGGCTGCGGCTCCGCACCTGCACCTGGGCTTCCCGCCCTTCTCGCTTGCCCCCCTCCCCTGCCCTGTGCCGCCCTGAGACTCCCCTGTGTCGCAGCTGCCCTCAGCAGCCGGAAAGGCTGTTGGCAGTGTCTCCTCAGTCCAGCACACTGCCGGGCCATGTTTGAGACCCCAGAGTATTTCTGAGTGCATGAGTGAACCAAGAAATGATGAATCAATGCCACTTGAAAAGAGAAAGAGAGATCTGATGCCACGATCCCCCGGGGAGCAGGGAGTGCAGGGAGGCAGCAGGGAATTGGGGAGGGGAGGGGAGGGGAGACGTGAAGGTGCCCACTTTGGTTTTGGCCCTGGGAAGGGTGAGGGTGTTGGGGACACAGGGTTGGTACAGCAGCCCAGGACTGGAGCCGAGGGGCCCGTGTGGCCCTTCAGAGCTGCTGGAACCGCTCACAGCTGGGAGGGTGCCGTGTGCAGAGATCCTCAGATCCGGGGCCAGTTCTGATAAATCTGACCCACAAGGAGCCTTCGTTCCAGCGTTTCCCTGTCCTGATGTAAAGTCAGCGTTTCTCCATTCTAAAAGGAACATCCAATAAGTCAGAACTTCTTTCTGTAAATTTTAAAGTTCTGCAGACGTAACTCTCCCAGACACTGAACTGGGACCACCAACGCAGTGCCAGTTTCTCTTAAACGCTGTGAACACCCTGAAGCAGGCGGAACCTCAACTTGCTCCGTGGTCAGCGCAGCGTTGGGCAGCCGTGGGCGGTTCCCGGGCCGTCCTGACTGTTCTCCCTCGGGTGACAGCTGTCCCACGTGGGGTCCTGGCTCTTCTGGGTGGAGAACAGTGTGGAAGGCAAAGCTTTGGGTGACTGGGGCGTGGGAGTGAGCAGGAGCTGTTGGAATATTTCCAGGTGACAGCTGCAGTAGGGTGAGACCTGGGCCCTGCGTGGGGCCCCTGGGCGAGGGGAGGGAAAAGGCGGGAGGGCAGGAGGAGAACCTGGTCAAGTCCTTTCCTGCGTCTCGTGCTGGGTCAGGCACATGCGATTGGGTCCCCAAACATCCGCCCTTGAGATGGTAGAATCCAGCGAAGGCACTCACTCAGCTAAAACAAGAGATGGGAAGGAGACATGGGTGGCGGTGCAGCTGAGTAGCCACGGATGCTCTGGAGTGAATTTGTCAGGGGCCACAGGAGCTTAGTGTGTCCAAAGGGAGACAGCAGGCAGGAGGCTGCAAAGGGGGGCCGGGGACCCCAACGAGGCAGAGGAAGGGGTGCAGGGTCAGCGTTCGTATGGGGAGCTGCTCCCAAGCGGGGCGGAGGTAGCTGTTCTATCTGGGACCCCTGGAGGGAGGCTTCCATGCCCTTGGAGTCTGGCTGGACCCCTAGGCTGACCCCTGGCTGAGCTGACTGACAGGCTCAAGGAGGGGTCCTGGGGGAGGGGCAGGACCATCTGGCCAGTTCTGATCTCTTCTTCCTCTTCCTATTCCCCTCCAGTGCAGATACCTTCAGGGATACAACCCCTTTGACCAGGGCTGTGTCAGCAACTGGTATTTAGCAATTTGTGCACCGCTGGGACCCAAGTGAGTTGGCAAAGCAGAGGCCCCATGTGGTGGATGAGGCGAGGCTGGGGGTGGGCCTGAAGCTGGGTCTCCCCCCTCGCCCTTACACAGCTCCCAGCGCTCCCACTCACTGCCCCTGTTTCTTTGGGGTTTTCTCCAGGGTGCTAGGGAGCCTCCTTGCTTCCTGGCCTCTGTGGCTTCTCGTCCTAAGAAACGGGTCAGGGCTGCTACACCTGATGAGACTCGCCCAGCTTGGTGTGGGGGTTGTGTGCTCCCCAAGCTGAGGCTGATGGGGACAGGGTGGGGGAGGGTGGGGCGGGCAGTGACCTCCTGCATGTGGCCTGTCGCTCCCCAGGTACATGGCTGAAGCTGTCTGGCTGCAGAGAGTGGTGGGGCCCGAGTGGGTGCCGGTGCACTTCCCGACATGCCCCTCCACCCACAGCCCTTCGGTCCTCCCTGGCCTCCAGCCCCGACCCTCCTGCTGCCACAAACCAGGGCAGGGCCCTCCGGGGAGTGGAGAGGCCGCAGCTGTCCAGGAGGTGAGGAGTGTGTGCTGGGGAAGGAGTGTGGGGTGCCCCCGGGGTCTGGCTGCTGGGCAGCTGCAGCCCCCAGAGCCTGGGGCCTGGGGCTGATGTGTCGCTCCCCCTCTTCGTGGAGGAACGACACAGGACCCTGCGCTGTTCTTTCGTCTGCTCGGCCCTCCCCGGGTTTGCTGCTGGTTCTTCCCGGGTTGGCTACTATCCCTTCCACCTCCGTGGAAGGGCAGTTCCCCCTGGCCGCATTCCCCACTTCCGCAGGGGAGCGGCACACCACCGGCCGGCTCTCTGGGGGGCTGCACGGGTTCCCTTAGATGTTCCCCATAGATGTTCCTGGTGCGTGCCGTCTCTCTCCTCCTTTATAGTCCTCTTCCGCCAATCCTAACTCGGCTGAGTACGCTGCTCTCCAATCAGGAGCAAGTCCTACAGTTAATTGGTTGAACTGGAGGCAGCTGTGCGGAAGCTGTTTACTTCTCTCCCAGCGCCATATTGTGGGAGAGCAGATGCATAGAATAAGTCTTAATTCGAGTAACTTAGTCTGGTCCGGATTGCTCCCCACAGATCCCCCTTTCTTTTTATTTTTTGGCGTTGATACGCGCCTGTCTTCGGTGTCCCACGGCACACACTCTGCTCTACTTGCTAGCGTTGCCACAGGCTCTTACAAGTCCTATCAATCAGGAAAACCGAATCCGGGTCCTCTCTTCGCCATTGTGAGGAGGTTTTTAGGCGCTGATGCGTGCCTGTGTTCGGTGCCCTGCAGCGCATGCTCTACTCTGCTAGAACTGCCTGCAGGTGTTTACAAAACCTATCAGGCAAACCGAATCCAAGCCTTCTCATTGCCGTATTGTGGGGGAGACTTATTAGTGTTGGTTCGTGCCTATCTTCGGTGACCTGCAGCTCATACTCTGGTCGAGCTTTGCTGGCGCTTACCGCCTTAAATCAGGCAGACCGAATCCAAGCCTCCTAATTGTTGCATTGTGGGGAAGCTTTACTGATGTTAATTCGTGCTTGTCTTCGATGACCTGCGGCTAGCCGCCCAGGTGCTCATCGCCTCACTAATCGGGCAGACCGAATCCAAGCCTTCTAATTGGCATGTTGAGGGGAGGCCTTATTTTTCTCTATTTCTCTATCTCCGGGCATTCCTACCTCTCCCATTTCACTTCTATCTTCCAGCATTCCCATTTCTCTTTTACTTCACTTCCAAACTTCTGTTTCTCTTATCCCCGCAGCTTTCCGGCACCTCGCCCCGCCGGCGGGTTCCCGGCTCTGCGCCGCTTCAGCCCGCGCGCCTCTCTCATCTGCGCAGCTTCCCGGCTTTGCGCGGCTCGGGTTCGCGCGCTCCGCGGTCTCCACGCTTAACCCTTTCGCGTCTGAACCACGGCCTACGCCAGCGTTCCCTATCTATTCACGCCCCGTGCTCTCTCTGCACGCGGCGGCTTCCGCGAGTAACACAGCGTAGCTTGCGTCTCCGCCACTAGGATTCAATCTAAGTTCCCCGGGCTAGCCTGGCGAATTCAACCCAGCGTACGTCTCCGCCCCACGGTTTGGCTTCCCGTCCTTTGCTCCCCGGGCTAATCAGACGGATCCCAATCTGGCTTGCGTCTCAGCTTCTGGTTTCAACTTTTCGCCCCCTATTCCCGGGCTAACTTGAGAACCCCAAAGTGGCTTTCGTTTCCGCCTCGGCCTGCCCCCCGCGGCTTCAATTTCCCTAACATTTTTCTCTACCCGGTATGTTTCCCCAAGCTTTCCTCCAACGATATTCCTCCCTCATTTCTCCTGGCCTCTCCCCACAGTCTGCATCCGAGTCTGTTTGTTCTAGCTTTCACTTTCGCTTTCGACCTTAGAGATTTCTCCCAGCTTCCCCCCGTAGTCCGTATCCGAGTCTTTGCCTAGGCTTTCAATAGCTTCTTCCGGCACCCTTTTCGTCCGGCTTTTCCCTAGGCTGTTTGCTAGTCTCTCTCTCCGGTAATTTCCCTAGGCTGTTTGCTAGTTTCTCTCTCCGATATTTTCCCAGTTCTTCCCGTTTCTTCCCTCCTAAGTTTTTTATCCGTCCTAGGTTTCCTATCCGAGCTAGGTTTCATATCCGAGTCACGGCACCATTATGTCGCTCCCCGTCTTCGTGGGGGAACGACACTAAGCCCTGCCTAGGCTTCATATCCGAGTCACGGCACCATTATGTCGCTCCCCCTCTTCGTGGAGGAACGACACTAAGCCCTGCCTAGGCTTCATATCCGAGTCACGGCACCATTATGTCGCTCCCCGTCTTCGTGGGGGAACGACACTAAGCCCTGCCTAGGCTTCATATCCGAGTCACGGCACCATTATGTCGCTCCCCCTCTTCGTGGAGGAACGACACTAAACCCTGCCTAGGCTTCATATCCGAGTCACGGCACCATTATGTCGCTCCCCCTCTTCATGGAGGAACGACACTAAACCCTGCCTAGGCTTCATATCCGAGTCACGGCACCATTATGTCGCTCCCCGTCTTCGTGGAGGAACGACACTAAGCCCTGCCTAGGCTTCATATCCGAGTCACGGCACCATTATGTCGCTCCCCCTCTTCGTGGAGGAACGACACAGGACCCTGCGCTGTTCTTTCGTCTGCTCGGCCCTCCCCGGGTTTGCTGCTGGTTCTTCCCGGGTTGGCTACTATCCCTTCCACCTCCGTGGAAGGGCAGTTCCCCCTGGCCGCATTCCCCACTTCCGCAGGGGAGCGGCACACCACCGGCCGGCTCTCTGGGGGGCTGCACGGGTTCCCTTAGATGTTCCCCATAGATGTTCCTGGTGCGTGCCGTCTCTCTCCTCCTTTATAGTCCTCTTCCGCCAATCCTAACTCGGCTGAGTACGCTGCTCTCCAATCAGGAGCAAGTCCTACAGTTAATTGGTTGAACTGGAGGCAGCTGTGCGGAAGCTGTTTACTTCTCTCCCAGCGCCATATTGTGGGAGAGCAGATGCATAGAATAAGTCTTAATTCGAGTAACTTAGTCTAGTCCGGATTGCTCCCCACACTGATGGAGTTCCTGGACACGAAGTCCAGCCCGCACCGCCACCTTGCTTCTGGCCGTGGCTTTCCTCAGCTGCTCACCAGAACTGGGAGGTGACCAGAGGCTTGGATACTGCGGGGAGGGTTCTTTTAGCTCAGAGAAGCTTGCCCTTGAAACCTGCTTTGGAACTTACACAGTAGTGTGTGGCAGCCCACAGCAGCCGGCCCTGGGGCTCCGGCAGCCACCACTCCCGACCAGTAGGTGCTTCCAGCCTGATCCCTTTGCTCTGCCCGGGGTGGGGCGGGGGCTGGGGGCTGTGGGGCAGGGGCTTGGGGAGAGAGCCTCATGCCCCACTCTGTAGCTCCACCCCGGCCCGGTGCTGCCCCCGCTACGGGAAGCCCCCAGGCGAGGTGAGGCCCCTCATTCGCCCCTCCGCACCCGGCGATGCCAGGAGCACCTGCGTCTCAACATCACCTCCTGAGGCTCTCCGTGCCCCGCCCTTGCCCCTCCCCGCACCTATTAAAGTCCCTGAGGCTGCCTCCTCCAGCTGGCTGCCTGGCTGTGCCTCTTTGCTGCGTGCGGGGGAGCGGGATCGGAGGGGTTGGGGCAAGGGCCTCCTGGGAAGGAAGGGACGGGATCCGTGAGAACCCGAGTCCAGACCCCGATACTGCCTGGCTATGTGACCTGCGGCACGAGCTGAACATTCTCCCGTCCTTAAACTAGGGCAGCGGTAACAGCCTCTCGGGCAGGTGCGGCGCTCCTCCCAGTGGGGGCTGCAGATGGGAGAGAAAAGCCACCGAGTCGCCCTGCCGCGTCCCTCTCTGCCTGCAGGGGGCGCCAGGTGTCCAGGAATTCGCGAGCGGGGCCCAGGGCCGCAGCGTAGCTCCGGAACCTCCTAGAGGCTTAGGGCCTGAGCGCTGGCTGGGTGGGGCTGGGCACCCTCCTGGCTGCCACAGCCCAGCCTGCCGAGAACGGGGTGGGGGTGGGGGTGGGAGTTCCGAGGCCCTGTGAGCCTTCTGGTCCCTGGGTGGGAGCCTCTGGGAAGTTGTCCGGGGCTGAAGTCAGGCCTAACTCCCCAGGGCCCCAGAGAGTATGGCCCTGGGTCTGTCATTGGCTCTTTTCTGCACCCTCCCCCACGCCTTGGGGGGGGGTCCTTCCCCCAGGGTCGCTGCTCAGTGTCACCTGGGCTGGGAACCCCCCGGAGGGGGCGGGGCTCTTGAAGTGTCCGCGTGGGCACAGCCACTGTTCACTGCCACTGTAGTGTCCAGGCGGAATCAGGTGTGAGAGGAAGGTAGAGGGAAGGTCACCTAAGGGTTCTGGTGAACCCCATAGAGGCTGTTCAGGGGCAAGTGTGTGTGCACGTGCACCCACGGGTGCTTGGGAGTCAGGGGGGCCTTCAGCCTCCTGCCCCACCCCGGGGAGGGGTGACTATCTGTAGGACATCTCTGGGGCCCTCTACAAAGCTGTGCCACCCCTGTGTCCCCAGAGGCCCCAGACCCTGGCCTTGCCGATCCGATCCGTCTGGCTCTGGTTCCTGGCCAGTTCTTTGTTCAACCCCAGGGACTCCAGCTCTTCTCATTCCTCTTCCTGTCCCAGGGTTTCTCCAATCTCAAACCCCTTTGGAGCTCAAGCCCTTCCACTTTGTATGTATCTCTGCTTGACTCAGAAACCCTTGGGCTGTAGGTAGGGGCACTGGCATATCACAGGGCAGCCCAGCTTCGGCCTTGCTGTAGGCAGCTCCTAGTGCCTATGCTGTAACAGCTGAAGCAGCGTCCCTGCCTCTCGGAAGCCCTCAGGCCATGGCCGCAGGGCGGCCTGGGCCCAGGTGTGCCTGCACCTGTGTGTGCAGGTGGGCATGGCTCGGTTCCTGCTGCCCAGCAGGAAGAGAGGCAGCAAAATGGGGCAGCCAAGGAGCTCTCAGGCCCAGTCCCAAAGCAGAGCCCTCAGGGGAGCCCGGGTCTGAGAGCATGGGGGGCCAGGAACCTGGGCCAATGCCTGGATGCGGTGGTGGAACCGGCCTGGGGGGCGGGGGTGCAGCCTGCATGGAGTCCCAGCTCCACAGGGGCTGAGCAGGCAGGGCCTGACCTGGGCTGCACCTGCCTTCAGGTACAGAGAGGACTCACCCAGGCGTCTCCCAAGTCCTAAGCCGCATGTGAGGCGTCTCCCCCAGCACCCCGAGCCCTAGTTCCCCACTGGGCCAGGACTTCACTGGTCAGATTCTCAAAGGATGCCATGATGTGAGCTCTTACTCTGCAATACAGCTTCTCCGTCTCTGTGTTCCCGCCCTGCCTGGAATTTCTATAGGAAAAACGTCCCTAGGATCAGGCTCCCTTGTTCCTCCACCCCCCACCCTGGCGCCTGCCCTCCCTGTACCCTCTCCTGAGCTCCGGGCTCCCCGCAGGGGACGTTAAGCTGAGCTGCACTCACCTTCTCTCTGTAGCCCCTCCTGGTTTCCCTGAGCCACCCCACCCACCCTTGGCCCCCCACTGATAAGGAGAGGGTGTTATCGGAGCCCAGAATGGGGCCTGCTGTCCACAGGCCCAGGGAGCTGTCTCTGCTCCCCCTGCCTTCCCCTGGGTGGGAGCCGGGGGTGACCCGCAGGGCTGCAGGGAGCTCACACAGCTGGAGCCCCACTAAGAGACCCCCGGCTGGCTGTAGAACCTGACAGAGGTGTTTACAACCTGGGATGGAGGCCGGAGGCAGCCCCCTGGGTCCAGACCCTCCCTCTTTGTGCCTTCAGGAAGGGCATGCTATGGAGGAGGTCACTTCCCTCTGCTCAGCCCCAGGTGGGGACTTAGAGACCCCCCACCCTGTCATAGATGGGGCCCTGGTGGCAGCAGGTGTGGTGGCTGTCTCCCATCCCAGGCTGCCATTCCCGCCCCGGGGGCAGTTTGAGGAGGAAGGGGTTGAGCAGTTTAGCACAGGGCCCTGCCTCTCCAGCCCCAGGCCTCAGCACAGGGCCTGGGGCGTGATAAGAGGGCGGGTGTCCTGGGCCACAGCGATAACTCTCTCCCCTGCCTGGGGCTCCTCCACCCTGCTCTGCCCTCCTGCCCCAGTCGAGGGGCAGGAGGCTGAGGGTGGGGCAGAGCAGGACAGAGGAGGGCAGGTACTGAAGTGCAGAGGGCGCAGGTCCCTGACTGCCTGAGCCTCAGGCCACCCAGGGGATTCCTGGCCCCTTCTGCTCCTTCTTAGCAGGCTGGGCCCCTGGAGGGGGACGGAGCCCAGGGGCCCAGGGTCAGGCAGGGTTCCCCCGCGTGGGTAACAAAGCCGCCCAGCCCAGCTGTCCTAGCACTAGAGAGGAGGAAGCCAGCACGGAGCAAGCAGCCCCTCCTCCAGGGTCACGCGGGTTCCACAGGGCAGAGCCCAGACCCCCTTGGCCTTTCCCGGGACACTGGACTTCCAGGGGCAGTCAGTCCAGAGCAGGGGTGCACATGGCCCTGAAGCTGGCCTGCCTGGCTTCCCCTGCGGTTGTGGGGGTGGGCTGGGCAGCGGGCAGGAGAGTTGGAATTGGCATCGGCACACAGCGGGTGCCTGATCGTCGGTGGTAACTGTTCTTGGGGTGTCATTGAAGGGCCTCGTGACTCAGGACTCTGGTCTGCTGAGGGCCCCCCAGAGTGCTGGTTGCCATGACAGCAGCAACCTGCTGGGGGCTCAAGGCAGGGACCATGAAGGGTGCTGCTTCACAGAGAGGTTTGGGTTATTATTTTACTGAAAATAACCAACCGACGGGGCTGTCTCGGGCACAAAGTGTTGGCAGCCTAGGCTGAGACCCTCCAGGGGAGGGGGAGAGGCCTCCCACCAGCGGCTCTGCCCTCCTGGGGAGAAGGCAGCAGTCAGAGTCCCTGTCCCCAGCCCCACCCCCGCCACATGCTGCCTTCTCTGTATCCCCGGCTCAGCCCCACTTCTCCTGTTTCCTGTCAGCCCCTCCACTCCTGCCTCCCTCCCCCTCCTTCTGTCACACTCATCCTGCTCTCACTGGTCTCTGTCTCCCCCACTTTTCCTGGACCCCAGCTTCCAGGAACAGAGCCACCCGCCTGACCACTTTGGGGTAGTAACGCTCAGCCGCGATTCTTGCAATCCCCTGGGCTGGGCGTGGGAACGGAGGACTCCTCCGCCAGGCTGGAGGCAGGGCCTGCCCAGAGCGCCTTTGTCTGCCTCTCAGCCAGGCACCCACTCTCCCGGCTGCAGGTCCAGCCCCTCCCTCAGTGCTTAGCGAGGGGTTTACCCAGAGTTCACTGGAGGCAGTGCCGTGACTGTGCCCAGGTCTCCACGCTGGGTCGGCAGCTGGGTCAGTGACCTGGCCGGTGACAGGAAGGGCCTGGAGTGCCGAGCCACCAGGCTGCAGAGGGTGCGCTGAAATGCTGACAGCAGGAGCGCCGGGGTCAGTGTACGGCAGGAGCGGGCTAGGCCCTGGGCACAGGGCTTGGCTGGTGTGGCTCATGTAACCTCAGTCAACCTTGTGAGGCAGGCGCCGCCCCTGCCCTCGTGGCTGTTCTAGGGTCCGTGGGGACGGTCCCTGGAGCGGCTGTGTACTCCCCTCCTGGGATTCCTGGACTCCGCCCACAGAGGAGTCTAGGATAGGAGCCGCTGTCGTGGTGCACCGGGTTATGCCACTGCCTGCAATGCTGGCATCTCATATGGGCACTGCTGAGTCCCAGCGGCTCCACTTCCAATCCTGCTCCCTGCTAGTGTGCCTGGGAAAGTAGCAGAAGATGGCCCAAGTGCTTGGCACCTGCCCCTACATGGGAGACCCGGATGAAGCTCCTGCCTTCAGCCTGGCCCAGCCCTGGTTGTTGCAGCCATCTGGGGAGTGAACCAGCAAATGGAGGATTGTGTGTGTATCTCCCTCTCTCTCTGTAACTCTGCCTTTCAAATAAATGAATAAATAAACCTTTATAAAAAATCAGCCTGCTTTAGAATTATTGAGTTTCAGGTCCCACCTGTGGTTCCGTTGGCAGGGCCAGACCCAGTGATCTCCCAGGCCTCACAAGACCTGTGGGCCGGACATCCCCCACCTCTTGCAGCCCCTTTGCCTGAACCTGAGTGCTGCTGGGCCTGGGCTGCCCCCTAGCAGCAAGGGGTCAGGGGGTCATGAGGCCCAGTGAGGGTTCCGCCCCTTGGCACTGTGGGCTGTGCCACATCTGCCCTCCAGCCGCTGGCGCCAGGGGAGACCCGCCCTCCTGCCTGTCCTTTCCCTTCCAGGGCGGAGTCCAGCTGCAGAGTGGGAGTGGCGTCCTCTCCCTCACCTGCAAAAGCCAAGCCCCCCAGGCCCGGTCTCCCTCCCGGTGCTCTGGAGGGCTGCTCAGGTACGTCCTGGGGGATGCTGCTTTCAAGGGTCCAGGGGCAGGAGGGCCGGCTGGGGCTGGGGCCCTGGCAGAAGACACTCCTTTTCTCTTTTGACTCCATTTCCTGACCCTTTGGCAGGCCCAGGGATTTAGAGCCTCTGGAAAGGCCAGGGCTGAGAACGGGTGCCACGTCTTAAATTCCAACCTCAGGTCGCTCTTCCCTGACCCCTCCTTCGTAAGTTAGCTACTCCTAGGGGCAGATCAGGCTGAAATGGAATTTGGGGCAGGGATAGGGCCCCTTCTGTTCCCAGCTGGCAACACAGTCTGCAGCCCTTCCTCAAGAGTGCCCTGAGTGGCACTGGCGCTGTGGCGTAGCGGGTAAAGCCGCTGCCTGCAGTGTTGGCATCCCATATGGGCACCGGTTCTAGTCCCTGCTGCTCCATTTCTGATCCAGCTCTCTGCTATGGCCTGGGAAAGCAGTAGAAGATGGCCCCAGTCCTTGGGCCCCCATACCCGCTTGGGAGACCTGGAAGAAGCTCCTGACTCCTGGCTTTGGATTGGCACAGCTCCGGTTGTTATGGCCAATTGAGGAGTGAACCAGTGAATGGAAGACCTCTTTCTCTCTCTCTCTTCCCCTCTTCTCTTTGTGTAACTCTGACTTTCAAATAAATAAATCTTTAAAAGAGAGAGAGAGTAAAGAGAGTGCCTGGGTGGGTTGGGGGAGGGGGTTGTGACACACTGGGTTAAGCCACCGCCTGCAGTGCTGATGTTCCACGTGGGTCCCGGTTCAAGTCCTGGCTGCTCCACTTCCCATCCAGCTTCCTGCTAATGTGCCTGGGAGAGCAGTGGAGGAGGGCCCAAGTTCCTGGGCCCCTGCACTCACATAGGAGACTCAGAAGAATCTCCTGGCTGCTGGCTTCAACCTGGCCCAGTTCACACTTTGGGGAGTGAACCAGCAGAGGGAAGATTGCTCCCTCTCCTTCTGTAACTCTGACTTTCAAATATATAAGAAGGAAAAAAAAAAGGACCCTGGGGTAGAGGAAACCTCTGGAAGGCTTCAGGGTCCGGCTGTGTCTGCCTCACTCCAAATCCGCAGTGGAGGCTTGGGCTGCAGGCCCAGCCTGGCCAGGGGGCTCCAGCTGCCTTGGGCACCATCCAGCCCGGAAGGCAGAGGAGGCCTGTTCCTGACGCCCAGGCCAGAAGGAGGTGCACAGAGGACGCTCTGCTTTGGAGCTGCAGCCTTGAAAGAGTTGTTTTCTTTGAATATCCTGCTGCAGGAAAGAGAAGCCCACATCCAACATTCCTGGACATGGGCTCCAGGTGGCTTTAAAGGAGCCATTTGTTTGGTTTCTGTCCCACCCTGTTTCTGCTCAGGGCGCTCGTCCCTGGGGTCCGGTGGGAAGCCCACACCCTTCCCGGCTCGCCCATGCAGCCTCACACTCTCGGAGCCTCAGCGCCTCTCCAGCCCGAGCCCTGAGCTTGCTCCGGGGTGGGGGTGCATGCCTCCCCCTCAAGGAGTGGAGCTCACGTGTCCTCAGCCCCCAGCTTCCTGGGCACTGCTGACCACACCCTCCTTTTTTTAAAATTTATTTATTAGAATGGCAGAGTTATATAGTGAGAGATCTTCCAGCCACTGCTTCACTCTCCAAATGGCCGCAGCAACCTTCCAGGTCTCCCACGTGTGTGCAGGGGCCCAAGCACCTGGGCCATCTTCTACTGCTTTCCCTGCCGTACGCAGAGAGCTGGATAGGAAGTGGAGCAGGCAGGACCTGAACCGGCCCCTGTATGGGATGCTGGCACTGAAGGCAGCGGCTTTACCTGCTACGCTACAGCAACGGCCCCCACACCCTCCTTCTTGAAAACCCTGTCCCTGCCCTTGACCTCAGGGATCAGACACACTGATTCGCGTGTGCTCTGAGACTCTTGCTCTCAGCCCTACTACTAAATCTTCTGGGGCATCCCGGGCACATCCTTGCTTATGGAGACCTCGCTCCCTCCCAGGCGGGGCAGTGCTGGGCCCTGCAGAGCCTCCAGCCTGGTGCCTTCATTTCCGGAGGGCCAGCTGTGCCTTGGGAGGGTCCCGCAGATGCCTGAGGTCTTCCCATCCCAGCACTCGGGAGAGACAGGGCAAAGGCACGGCAGCCGCTGAGGAAAAGGAGCGCTTGTGAGCAGAGGAGAGGCTGAGTGGGGCGGGAGGGTGTCTGGGTGTCTCGGGGGGAAATGTCCCAAAGCTTGGGGCTGGCTTGGAAAAATCCAGAAGGTGTCCCCAAACTAGCCAGGTGAGATCAATAAGCCCAGGCCAGGAGATCAGGAAGTCGAGGAAGCCTCCAGCACTCTTGTTTGCCTTCCTGCCTCCTGGGCCCCTGTGCTGTGACCAGGTCGGGTAGGGGAGGGGGACTCTTGGGGGAGGGACATCGAGGGGCAGGGAAAAAGCACCAGAGAGCTTACTGCTGTCCAGGGATGAGCTGACAGAAGCCTGCGGCCCGAAGTGGTGGTAGGGACAGGCATTCATTCATTCAACAAACACCAAGCAACCACCATGTGCTCAGGAGGCAGTGAAATTAATTCCCAAAAAGAACATGTCCTATACCATGTAACGAAGTATTAATTAAAATGTATGCACACGGATTTTTAAAAGCCTGGTGGGGGTGAAGGCCCCATGTGCCCATGGTGACCCAGCAAGGGCTTCCTGGTAGGGGATTCCAGCTGCTGCTGTGGGTGTAGGGGTGCCCACCTGCCTTCCAGGCCTAGCTGCTCCCCTGTGCCCAGCCCCCTCACCCCCCGGTGCCTGCTTCCTGTCTGTGAAGTGGAGCATGGAACCAGGACGTCCATGATTCTTTGCAGTTCGCATGTTCCATGAGAACTCTCAGGATTGGGGGTTTAGGAGCAGTGTCATGGGCTCGGTCAGGGCTGCCCCTGCTGCTGTGGGCCTTGCCACCCCAACCCTTCATACAAGGCCCGCCCCTCCCTGCCAGCTCCTCGGCGGGAGGAAGCCGCTGCCCGCAGCTCACCAGCTGTCCAGCTCTGATCATAAATTAGAATCCCGCCTCCTAACCTCTGCACCATTTTGGATCATGAAAACGGCCTCCACCCTTCAGCTGCAGCTGTGTGACCTGGAGCCCAGGGTGCTCTGGGCAGGGTCTAAGCTGCTGGGCGGGCAGATGCCAGGCACTGTGCCCGTGAGTTGTTCTGTGTCCCTGGGCAGGGGAGGGGTAGTGACTGTCAGCTCTGTTGTGAAGAGCAGCAGCTGCAGGAGGGGACCGGGCCCCAGGAGCCAGGGAGACATCCATCTGAGGTCACAGCCACATCGGGGCCAGGCCCCTCCTGCCCCCACTCCCTGAATGCTGTGTGCACTGGCAGGGGTTCTGACCCATTTCTCTTCCTGGGCAACGTCCTTGGCAGAATCGCACTTCCGGCCTCGTGCCCAGGCCTCAGAAGTCCCCCTCAGGAGTCCCCAGAAGCTGGAACGCCTTCCTGCCTCAGGGCACCTGAGATTCCCTGGGTTCCTGCACCCGGAGCTGGCTCCTGGGGGCTCCCCCGCTCGCTCGGCTGCTCCCCACTGCACGCTACCCTCTCTAATTAAAAAAAAATAATGGGCCGGCGCCGCGGCTCACTAGGCTAATCCTCCACCTTGCGGCGCCGGCACACCGGGTTCTAGTCCCGGTTGGGGCGCTGGATTCTGTCCCGGTTGCCCCTCTTCCAGGCCAGCTCTCTGCTGTGGCCAGGGAGTGCAGTGGAGGATGGCCCAAGTGCTTGGGCCCTGCACCCCATGGGAGACCAGGAGAAGCACCTGGCTCCTGCCTTTGGATCAGCACGGTGCAAAGGAAGACCTTTCTCTCTGTCTCTCTCTCTCACTGTCCACTCTGCCTGTCTAAATAAATAGATAGATAATTTTTTCCTCTAAATTTTCAAACAGGAGGGCAGGGGAGATTGTGTCCATTCTTCCATCCGGGTTCAGCTTTTCAGGCAGGTGTTCAAGACCAAGACAAAAGTCACTTTTGATCTGATGCGGTTGCTCTCCACTACCAGCTGTACTAAACTTCTGGAATGTTCGTTGCAGGTTCTGAGGGGTGTGGGCTGCACCCCTGCCTCAGTGCCGTGACTGCACGGCTGCAGTGGTAACGGTGTTCCCACCACGGCTGGAATTGGAGGGCTGCCTTCCATCTTAACCCAATCAAGTCAGCTTAGCCTTGCTTCCTTGGCCAGCAGCCCCCTCCTGGGCATGTGCCAGGGCCCCAGGAGACAGCCCCACGCCTCCCCCAGCCCCAGTCCAGTCTTCGTCGTGCCTGGAGTTGGTATGCTGGCCTCTCCCAATCTTGGTCTCCTTCTCTGTGAACTTGGGGACCGGCCTGGGGCTGCCAGCCCACTCCTGGGGCAGGGGGCGTGGCCCCGAGCCAGCATCGCGTAAAATAAAGGGGCCGTGACCCGCAGGCCTGGGGTACCCCGCACTCAACTCAGTGTGTGTTCGGAGAGAAAAAGTCCCAGTCCCCAGATGGGTCCCCACGCGCACCTGCTCCCCCCAGTCGCAGCTCTCAGTGCCTGGCGCCGCTCGCGTGAATCCACTGTGCGTGCTCGGGGCGCTTCCGCAAAGTAATGTTGCAGACGATTTCTGGCTCATTTACTGATGACCACCGCGCAAACAACAGCGCCGGTGCTGCGCAGCTACCGCAAGAATTGTGCGGGGTGGGGGGTGGGCTGACTGGAGCCTGGGAAGCGCTGTTTCCCTCTCAGAGCAGAGCGGAGAGACTGGCAGGGGTTCTGGTGAGCGGCCAGGCAGGGGGACCCCAGAACCACCAGCGAGGCCCCTGACTGCTCAGCCCTCTTCCCTGTGAGCTTCCGCAGGCAGGGTCTGGTCCTGGGCCACAAACAGCCCCGTGCCCGGCTGACCTCATGTGGGCCGCAGGGCAGCTGTGGGGGCCTGGAGCCCTGGCAGGAGGGGACGACGAGAAACAGATCCAGTTGGAGACAGAAGCCAGGCTGTGGCCCCTCAGGCCCCTAGGATGTGCAGGAGGACCGAAGTCCACACCACAGGTTACTCCTATCCAGCTGGCCGCCCATGCCCCGGGTGCAGATGGTTAGACCGCGTGGGGGCTGAGGTAGCTGGGGACTCTGAAACGGCACCACAGTGGCCAGACGTGGCCCGTGCCCTGGCCCGGCTCCCCACAAGGAGCAGAGCCGGCCCCGGCTTCTGTCCCCAGGGTGGAGGCGTGTTTTCCACCTTTGCACTGATCTGTCTCTGCAGTGCTGTGGCCCATAAAGTTTAATAGGTGTGTTTCATGGCTGTGGCTGCGAGCCATCGCCGGGGTCACACAGAGCTCACAGTAACAGGTGACTTTGGTCTGCAAGAACCTGGAGCCCCTTGAGGGGAAGTGGGTGGAGTTTGCTTTTCAGCAGTCTTGGGGCCACCGGGAACTGCATGCCCGGCCCAGAAGCTGGACCTCCCTCGGGGGTCAGGGTTGGTTCCCCCCCCCGGGGGGGGGGCTGCAGTGACAGTAGTGTGTCCCCGCGGTGTGTCCCTGGGGTGTGAGGCTTGCTGTCACAAAGCACATTCCCATTGGTGCTCAGATTGCCCCCCTCCCCCACAGCCCCGTCAGGCAGCGGGGCAGGGGTGCTCCATCCCCGAAGGGCAGAAGAGGAGACTGAGTCTCAGGAAAGAGACCAAGACCTCGCGTGGACCCCGGGGGAGGGGCCGAGCTAATGACTCCATGGCGGGACGGGTGGAGCAGGGCAGGGGGCTTCCTCCTGGGGTCTGCGGAAAAGGAAGAAGGCCGGGTTTCTGCCACAGAAAAGCAGCTTCGTGAGCGTGTGGGTGGGAGGAGGCTGGGGCGATGGGGGAGCGGCGTCTGCAGCTGGCTCAGAGCAGCCTCAAAACCCTTCGCTCGCAGGCACGGGCGGCCGCGTCCACGTCCGGGATCAGCCAGTCGCCTCTCTGAAGTTTGAAACAAAACAAAACTGCTTTTCTTATGCCAGTCCACTTTCTAATACCTCAACGCTCAGCCGGCAGGGGCAGCAGTGGCGATGGTTGGCTCCCTGGGTGCGTGGGCTATGGGAAGGCTACTGCTAAGCGCTCCAGGCACTGGCTCGCCAAACCCCTCAGCCCCCTGTAAAGGCTCCCACCGCGTTTCCATATTATAAGTGGGACTACTGAGGCACCAAGCAGCGAGTCACCGACTGGAGGCCACTCCACCAGCAAGTCACAGGCGAAGCTTGCTATGGGACTGGCTTTTTTTTTTTTTTCTTCAAGATTTATTTATTTTGAAAGACAGAAAGGCAAAGTTACAGACAGAGAGGCAGAGATATGGATCCTCCATCCACTGGTTCACTCCCCAAATGGCCACAACAGCCAGTGCTGAGCCAGGATGAAGCCAGGAGCCAGGAGCTTCCCTCCTGTGTGAGTGGCAGGGGTCCAAGGACTTGGGCCATCTTTTGGTGCTTTCCCAGGCCATAGCAGGGAACTGGATGGGAAATGGAGCAGCTGGGACCCTAAGCGGCACCCATACGGGATGCAGGTATCACAAGTGGTGGCTTTACCCACTATCCCACAGTGCCAGCCCCCAGGGCTGGTATTTTAGGGCCAAGGCTGCAGTTTTAGCTCCATCCCACCGTGCACCTGATGGTAAACTGTTGCAGTGTTCAAAGGTAGGCCCCTGCCACTTATGGACTGCTCTTATTTTGAAACAAATGCCTCTTTTCTTGATTACTATTTTGGAATTTTTTTTTTTTTGACAGGCAGAGTAGACAGTGAGAGAGAGAGACAGAGGGAAAGGTCTTCCTTTGCCGTTGGTTCACCCTCCAATGGCTGCTGTGGCCAGCGCACCGCGCCTATCCGAAGGCAGGAGCCAGGTGCTTCTCCTGGTCTCCCAAGGGGTGCAGGGCCCAAGGACTTGGGCCATCCTCCACTGCACTCCCTGGCCACAGCAGAGAGCTGACCTGGAAGAGGGGCAACCGGGACAGAATCTGGCGCCCCGACCGGGACTAGAGACCGGGACTAGAACCCGGTGTGCCGGTGCCGCAAGGCGGAGGATTAGCCTAGTGAGCCGCGGCGCTGGCTTTGGAAATTTTTTAAAAAGATTTATTTATTTATCTGAAAGTCAAAGTTACACAGAGAGAGAAGGAGAGGCAGAGAGAGAGAGAGGTCTTCCATCTGCTGGTTCACTCACCAGTTGACTGCAATGGTTGGAGCTGTGCTGATCCCAAGCCAGGAGCCAGGAGCCTCTTCTGGGTCTCCCACGTGGTTGCAGGGGCCCAAGGACTTGGGCCATCTTCTACTGCTATCCCAGGCCATAGCAGAGAGCTGCATCAGAAGTAGAGCAGCCGAGACTTGAACCGGCGCACAGATGGGATGCCAGCACTGCAGGCAGTGGCTTTAATCGCTAGGCCACACTGCCAGCCCCAGAAAATTTTTGAAGTAGAGGAACACATGGAGGACAATTACTCTTGAGTCCATCTCTCCACCCAGAACAGTGCCCTGTTAGCATCCTTCTTGGGTCACCATGCACGGAGACTGGAAGCTGCCACCATCTTCCATGGCATGTGCACAATGAAAGTGTGCAGTTTGCCAAGTTTCGATGTGTGAGTGCACTTGTGAAACCGACAGGACCACCAAGACCCAGGGCTTATCTGCCACCCTCAGACGGTTCCTTGAGCCCCTCTGGTGTGTCCCTCCCCTCCCCCACTCTCCGTGTTTACACCCTGGAGGTCGGGGCTCTGGCCAGGATCACCCACCTGGGCAGGCAGCACTGGGCTCTGTCTCCAGGCCAGGGCGTGCTTCAAGAAGCACAGACAATGCCACCAGGAGGTGTGGGACTCTCTGTACCTGCTGCTCCACATGGCTGTGAACCTGAAATTGCTCTGGAAAAACAAAGTCTATTCAAAAGGAGAAAAGAAGAAAAGCTTCTGTTTATCTTACGACAGTCTAAATGAAAAGACACAAAATGAGATGAGATTTTTTTTTTTGTAATGTGCATAACCATTGCCAGATAAGAGTCCAGAATATGTAAAGAACTCCTGAAAGTAAATAAGGAAAATAAATAAATAAATAAAGGGCAAGGAAAACACATCCAGGTGTTTCGCAACAGAGGAAACGTACTTTGTCAACGAACATTTATGAAAGATGCTTAACTTCATTAGGAATCAGGAGAATGCAAACTAAATCACCCAGCCTATTGGCGCACACACACACACACACACACACAGGCGATCTGTTGACAAGAACACGGGGGGGGGGGGGGGGGGGTGCTGACGGAACTCCCTTGCCTGCTGGTGAAGGATCGAGTTCCACCCCTGGGGCGGGCAGGCAGGGTTGTCCGGTTCTGGGGATTCTTGCTCCACTACCCAGTTCGCCACTCCCAGCCTCCAGCTGTGGGACATTACATCTCTGTGGTTGTCGGGTGCTTCTTTACCGCATCTCCAGGAAGTGAATTTCCCCTTTCAACACTCCGTTCTGGAAATCTGTTGTTGATGAGCAAAGCTCAGCTTGATTCATTCTCTCTGTCGCGTTCCGTTATTTATACACTACCAGGTCCTCACTTGAAATGCTGTGTGGTTTGCTTGTTTGGTTTCTGACATTGCAGACAGAGCTGCCCCGGTGGACGTCACAGGAGAGAAAGCGTGGGGCTTCCTGAACACCAGGGGTGCCAGCCGGAGCTCCCGGAAGGCAGGGTCTGTCCCCGGCCTCTCCCAGGCTTCATTTCTTTCCCAGGGCAATGCTGGGTCTCCTGGACCTCTGTCAGGCCAAGTGCAGACCACTCACCTGAACATCTGCCCATCTAAGACCCGATTTTCTGGGTTTGCTGCTGGAGAGGAGTCTGAGCCGCCGGGCCGGAGAGAACTTGCCGGCTCGTCCTGAGTGCCAGGAGCGGGCACAAGTGGTTGTCTCTAAGGCTGAGGCCCAAGATGGCCCCAGCTGACCCCACAGCTGTCTTGCAACCTGGCTCTTGGTCTAATGAGTCAGAGAATTTGCCGTTGGCCATGACCACAGCCATCCCAAGCTCAGTGCCAGCTCGGTCTGTCGGTCAAGGAAAGAGAACTTCACAGCATTTCTTCGTCCTTGTCCCTCATGCTTCTGCTCTGTGACGTGAAAGCACTGGCTGAGGCAATGTCTACCCTCCTCCCGGCGGCAGCGCGTCCGGCTTTTTGCTGGGATTTCAGCTGGCCCGGCGCCAGCAGAGCTAGCCTGTCCAGACGCGGGGCCGCGTTGCACTTTGCTTACTTTGAGTTTTTGGTTCATGATCGCCTGCAGGAGTGAGTGTCCAGGGCCTTGGAATGCTGGAGGGAAAGGACAAGGAGCCCCGGGTGAGACGCGGCCCTGAGATCGAATCCGGACGGCAAAGGAGGGCCCAGCAGCCGCGCACCGGCCAGCGGCCGGCCTTTGGCTCTGCGACTTTGCTGCTGGGCAGTCGTGCTAAGGCCGTGGTTGGGAACACAGCTAACAGTACACGCATCAGGGCCTGCATCACAGCGTTGGGCGAGATACTGAAAACCCAACAACCCGAACGCCCGGGACTAGCAGATCAGTTGAATTAGGGCCACATGATCAAGTACAACAAAGCCTTTACAAGTCATAGATTTCATAAACACTTGCAGTAAGTGAACAAGTGGTACACATAATTGTATCTATAGAACTGAAAGAAATAATAGAAGGACCGACAGATGCGCACGCAGGAGGAAATGCGTTCAGTGCTTTCAGCTCTCTCTGGGTACTGGGGCTATGGGTAGTTTCAGTTTCTTTCTTTTTTTTTTTTTTTTTAAGGTTTATTTATTTATTTAAAGGTAGAGTTACAAAGAGGCAGGGGCAAAGAGAGAGGGACAGAGAGAGAGAGAGAGAGAGAGAGAGAGTTCTTCCATTTACTGGTTCACTCCCCAGATGGCTGCAATGGCTGGAGCTGTGCCTATCTGAAGCCAGGAGCCAGGAGCTTCTTCCTGATCTCCCATGCAGGTGCAGGGGTCCAAGCACTTGGGCCATCTTCTACTGCTTTCCCTGGCTGTAACAGAGAGCTGGATGGGAAGTGGAGCAGCCGGGACTGGAACCTGCACCCATATGGGATGCCAGCACTACAGGCCAGGGCTTTACCCACTACGCCACAGTGCTGGCCCTGTCCCTTCCTTTCTAAGGCAGAATAATATTCCAGTAGGTGTGTAGACACTCAACCATGTGCTTGGGTTATTCCACCTTGCAGCTGTTGTGACCAAGGTTCCGTGAGCATGGGTGTACAGATGCCTCTTTGAGACCCTGCTTCAGTTCTTTGGGGTATCTGCCCAGAGATGGCTGCAGGGTCCAGTCCTCCCACGTTTCATTTTTTGAGGAAGACCACAGTCTTCCCAAAGGCTGCATTTCACATTCCCACCAATAGTGCTCAAGGGCTCCAACCTCTCAGCTTTTTATTTTTATTTTTTTGAAGCAACTAAAACATGTCATTTTTAAAGGTGGGCAATCCAGTTTAACATTTTGTCTATGCCTCTGTGTTCCACATGCAGGTTCTTGGGCTTAGGGCACAGGTGGAGAGGAAGTTAGGCCGTGAGCAGAGACCCCTGAGGAGGGCAGATGTCCTCATCTTGTTACGGTGACCCTTGTTCCAGTTCTCCATGGGTGTTGGCATGTCTGGGCGGCCATCCAAATCTCTGTTCCCCATAGGTGTTGGCATGTCTGGGGAGGTGTCTTAATCTTGGTTTTCTGCCACCGCCACCCCACCCAAGTTCCCCATAAGCATGGTCTCAAGTTCCTCAAGGGTGGTCCTAAGTCCTGCAGGCTGCAACCAAGCCCACCAGGTGCTGCAGCTGTTAATGCATGATGCTGGCCAACCTATAAATATTGTAAGAAACCTGGATCGGAGGCCCAGTCTCGGGCAGTGATTCCACTGGGCCCATCGATGTTAATAAACTGCTTTTGCTGATCCTCCACCCGGCCTCTGGTGCCTGCTTGAACTAAGGGAATTTCTGTAACACAGGAGCTCATCACAGAGTCCCAGAGGCTCTGAGTGCGGCCCAGTGCTCAAGGCCCCTGTGCAGGGATGTGGCCCCGGGCCCTCACTCCTGTCACACAGGGTCGTTGAGGCAGGCCCCACCCGGGAGCTAGAGCTGGAGCTGGAGCTGCAGAGCAGGGGCTGTCACCCGCCCTGTCACCACAGGGCTGCACAGAGGCGCGTTCAGGCAAGCCCGGTGAGCACAGTGGCGTTCTCCACGGCTCACCGAGGCGCCTCTGCTTCTGGTCTGGACTCTGGGGCTGAAGCAGGAGGCGTGGGCCTGGATTGTTTGCAGTCAAAGCTGCTCCAAAGGCAGTGCCCACAAACAGGAGTCCCCAGCAACACGGGCGCAGTGGTGGGGTTAGTTTTGGGGATCTAAGGAGGATAAGAGTAAGAGGTGAGTGGACAGCACAGCCGTAGGTGGGAAGCGGTCATTTCAGCTGGGTGCGTCTCCAGGTTGTGGGCGCCCAGTGCTTGCCACATCGTAGAACATCCTGCAGTGGCCTTGAAATTGCTGGAGGCTGGGGGCCGGTGCTGTGCTGGAGCAGGTAGACCCCCTGTCCGCAACACTGGCATCCCATGTGGGTGCAGGGTTGAGTCCCAGTTGCTCCGCTTCCAATCCAGCTCCCTGCTAATGCTCCTAGAAAAGCAGCAGAAGGTGGCTCAAGTGTTTTGGCCCCTGCCATCCACCTGTGAGACCCAAGTGAAGCTTCTGGTTCCTGGCTTCGGTGTGGCCCAGCCCTGGCCATTGCAGTCTTTTGGGGAGTGAACCAGAGAATAGAATATTCTCTCTCTCTCTGTCTCTCCCTCCCTCTCTCTCTGTAACTGTGCCTTTCAAAGAAATAAAAAAATCTTAAATAAAAAAAGAAAAAAGAAAAGAAATTCCTGGGGCCCTGCTCTGGTGTAGCAGGTAAAACCGCCGCCTGCAGTGCCGGCATCCCATATGGGCACCGGTTTGAGTACCAGCTGCTCCACTTCTGATACAGCTCCCTGCTGTAGCCTGGGAAAGCAGTAGAAGATGGCCCCTGCACCCATGTGGGGAACCAGAAGAAGCTCCTGGCTCCTGGCTTTGGTCTGGCCTAGCTTCAGCCATTTGGGGAGTGAATCAGTGGCTGGAAGACCTTTTTCTGTCTCTCCCTCTCGTATCTGTATCTATGGCTTTCAAATAAATAAATAAATCTTAGGAAGGAAGGAAGGAAGGAAGGAAGGAAGGAAGGAAGGAAGGAAGGAAGGAAGGAAGGAAGGAAATCACTGGAGGCAGAGAAGGGCGCAGCCAGCCCACCGAGCCCCTCGGAAGTCTTACTTTGATTTCATGCCCATCTCAAATACGTGCACAATGCAATTTGTTCTTGTTATTTCATTTCAGTTCCTGTCTTGAGCAGCTGTCTCTGACACCCAGGGGTCCCTGCGGCCGCTCTTACTGGGATCGTTACCAAGCAGTGGCTCCCTGCGCCCCCCTGAGCTGGAACCTTCTGCAGGACCTAGTGGTGAGGGACAGGCTGTTGTCGGTGGCCCTGGGTGCATCTTTCTCACGCTGGGGAAACCCCTGTCCCTCTCAGCTTGTGGAAATGCACAGTCACCCTCCTGTGACTCTCGCCAGACAGGAATGAGGCTCCTCAGGCCCAGGCGGGCAGTCCTGACGCACGGTCAGTAGCCTGTAGGAGGCCTGCTGGCTCAGCTCCCACGGGCTCTGTCCCAACCCGCATGTCCCAGAGAGCAACACCCATGCTCTCCGCAGGAACTGGAGGGCCAGCGAGAGGTCACGGGATGACAGTGCCCAGGGCCAGCTTCCACGGGCGGGTGACCTGGGCCGTTGTATAGGGCACCAGGCTCAGAAAGCTCCCATGCTTTGTTTAATGCTCTGCCGTCACTGAAATTCTTTTAAAAATATTAATTTAATTATTTATTTGAAAGGCAGAGTTACAGAGGAAAGGAGAGAGAGAAAGAGAGAGAGAGAGAGATCGTCTATCCACTGGTTCACTCCCCAAATGGGCACAACAGCTGGGTCTAGACCAGGCTAAAGCCAGGAGCCAACTCCACCTGGGTCTTCTACATGGGGGGCAGGAGCCCAATTATTTGAGCCAGTTTCCGCAGCTTTACCAGACACATTAGCAGGGAGCTGGATCAGAAGCAGAGCAGCTGGGACTCTAACTGACACCAGCGTCCTAGGCAGCAGCCTAACTCGCTCTGCCACAACACCGCCTCTGAAATTCTTAACAGCTTTCACAAACGGCCCCAGAGCCCTGGAGGGCTGGCTGTACGTGGGAAGGCGCCAGGTTTTGAATGGGCCACATCACTCCCTTGCCTGTGTCAGAGCTCCTGGCCTACATGCACCATTCTGCAGCTCCACTGGACACCCCCAGAGGGCAAGGCCCAGGCCTCCGAACCCCAGGGTGCTTCCACTTAGATGCTTAGTAGCGCTGGTTGATGCAATGCCTGGAGACGCCACACCAAGTCAGGTTTTCAGTGGCAAGGGAAGGCGACTCTCGATTGTAGTGAGCTGGATTTTTATCAGAAAAATGTGTGGGAAATGATGTGAACTTGGTTTATGTGGTTTATGGCTGAATTTCCACACTGCGGTGTCTCTAGGAGGGCACTGACATATATCAAGCACCCACCATCTCTGGGCACAGTGCTGGGTGCTCCAAGCCCCTGTCTCCCATTCAATCCCATGACCTCAGGACAAGTGCCATTCCCCTGTGGGAGGCTCGGGCACCCACGCAGCTTTCCCAAGGCCACACACTGCCCTCTGTGGATTTCAAAGGCCTCCTTGCTAGTGTGGGTGAGTGAAGGAGCCGTGGGACTGCCAGAGGGCGCAGCCACGCCCACACGGCTGAGGAGTTGGGGTTAGAACCCGGATGATAAGGCCAAGTGTAAGGAGGTGGGAAGCAGGGATTCTGTGATGACCACTCCGCCTGTGGGACTCAGCCCAGGTTTCTGACCTTGTCTGAGACTGTCCCTTCCCAACTGTGGTGTGTGGAAAATAACAGCTCCTGCGTCATCATGGAGATGATCAATGGTGGCTGAGTCAGGGGGCCAGGACCCCGACTTTGGGGTCTTGGTTTGCCATTCACAAAGTAGGGTCTCACGATTGTCTGGAAGTGCCTTTAGCTCAATGTGGGAATAATAATTTAAAGTTTACCAAAAATATTTGTCTCCCAAGGTCTCAGTTCTAGGACTTGGTTATCTTCCAATATTATCCATTTCCCCTTCTTCCTTGCTCAAAGAATCTTGATTTTGTTTGGGGCAACAGAATAGTCTGCCAGGCCCCGCTATGAATCATGGAACCCTTGTTTTCTGCTTTCCCAGCATGCCCTGCAGCTAGGGGAGACCACATGACCAGTCCTGGCCAATGAGACCTTCTCTTTCTTCCTACTTTGAAGAGGCTGCTGATATTTCAAACTGCAGCAACCCTATTTCCAGAGGAGGATGTGAAATAACTTCAGGGGTGCCAGCCCTGACATGGCTGAGCCCCACTTCTGAATATTTCATGCTGTGAGATAAAGAAGTTACCTTTTGTTCAAGCGCCTGTAAGTCAGGTTTGTGTTGCTCAGAGCCGTATTTATTCCCGCCTGACAAACCACACTTTCCTGCGTTTACCCCTCGGGGTGCAGGGAGCGCCTGTGGGCTCTGGAGCCTGCGCCAATGCTGCGGTTGTCTTTCCTGTTCTAAGCCAGGTCCCAGGAGGGCATTCGTGCCTTTCTCGGACCACCCAGTTTACCCCACCTTTCAGTTTCCTTGTCCATTCTGACCTCAATTTCTCATTGTTTTTAGTGAATCCCTTTCCTGAAAAATTACCTTCCATGGCTGGCGCCACGGCTCACTAGGCTAATCCTCCGCCTAGCGGCGCCGGCACACCGGGTTCTAGTCCCGGTCGGGGAGCCGGATTCTTTCCCGGTTGCCCCTCTTCCAGGCCAGCTCTCTGCTGTGGCCAGGGAGTGCAGTGGAGGATGGCCCAAGTGCTTGGGCCCTGCACCCCATGGGAGACCAGGAGAAGCACCTGGCTCCTGGCTTCGGTTCAGCGCGGTGCGACAGCCGCAGCGCGCCGGCTGAGGTGGCCATTGGAGGGTGAACCAACGGCAAAGGAAGACCTTTCTCTCTGTCTCTCTCTCTCACTGTCCACTCTGCCTGTCAAAAAAAAGAAAAGAAAAGAAAAGAAAGAAAAATTACCTTCCAGACACACAGAATCCATGTCCATTGCCTGGCCACATCCTACACACACACACACACACACACAAACAATCACATCATACACACACCCACATCACACACACGCACATTACACAATCACATCATGCACAACCATACTCACATCACACATATATCACACACAAATCACACGCAGTCACAATCGCATCACATGTAATCACATCACACATAATCATACACACTCATGTCACATGCACTGCACATATGTCACATATAATCATACACACTCATATCACACACACCACACATACATCACACAATCACATATACATCTCACACGCACGTCACATCTCACACACATACACACACATCCCACACATTGCACACAGTCGTACACACATCTCACACACACATATATACACACTACAAGTCACACCTTTCTTCCTGACCGCTTTCTTTTATTTTTGTTTTCTTTGATGTATGGGGAGTCCTGATTGTGCTTCTGCCTGTTTCCATCTGCTGGGGCCAGATGGAATGTGCTTAATCCACGGGCAATTCTAGAAACAGAAGAGGTTGCCAGGGGGCCCAGACACCCTCTCCAGCCTCCAGGGAGCCTGCCCTCTCCCTGTGCCCAGCCCACCTGCCTGAGGGGGCTTGCCGGGGAGGATGTGACCGCAGAGCCTCTCCGGGGTTCTCTGTCTCAGGGTCTGACCTTGGAGGCCAGGCTGCCCAGCCCCCTGCCCAGGGAGGCCCAGGAGCTGATGCCGAGGGCATCACTGTAAGTCTCCCAGGGCTCACTCCTGAGGCAGAGCTGCCCTTCTGGCCTGGCCGTCCTGGCCCACGGTGGGATGGGGGGTCCTCAACCTTCCCCCCAGCACTGAAAGAAAGGGATGAACTGTAAGCAGTTTCGCTGCTGGGAAAGCTTCTCCAGGGCACCTGCCGCCTGCCCTGGTGACCTCGCAGGTTAAGTAAGCGAGGCTGCCTGGGGAAGCAGCAGCTCCGCCTCCCAACCCACATCCGCGTGGCTCTCAGTGCCAACTGACCTTCGGCACAGATGTTGCCAGCTGTCCTGGCTCTCCTGGCTCCTGCCCTGGGAGCCTTGCGGGGAGTGGGGGAGGGGGTGGGTTTCTGGGTGAGGGAGACTTTCCCAGCTTGCGGGGGCCACCACGCTCTGCCCGGGGTCTCGGAACTTGGGAAGGGAGGTCCCCACCTGTGGCTTGGGCCTTCAGTGTCACCCTCTCCAGTGTGTTTTGGAAAGAGGCCTCGTGCTTATGTCCAAAGTCCCGTGTGCAACCTGGCAGGTGACCTTGGCCGCAAACTTTACCTGTTGGGAGCTCTTCCCTTCCCTGGGAAAGGTGCTTGGGAGGGGTTTCCGTGGGTGGCAGAATCTGCTCCTGAAGGTGGGGGCGGTGCCGCCCTTAGGAAGCCTCCAGCCCAGGGACCCTGCCTGAGGCCCACAGGGGATATTTTCTGCTGTAAACTTTTTAAGGGAGTTTTGAGAAAAGCTGTTTTAGGAATGACTTGGTAACCAGTAACTTACTGACTTGGATTAGCTGTGATCTTTCAGATCCGTGTACGTGGAAAGTCTTAGAAAGCGAGAAAAGCAACTCAGTGTTTCTAAATGTGGTGGCCATTTTCTTGACACTGAACGGATTTGTTTTCAGAAGCCAGTTAGGACCCCTCTGGCTAGCCCCTGCCCCAGCAGATTGCTCCTAACCACTGGGACGTTGCTTTTGCTTTAAAATCTTCCCAGGCAGTTCAAATGCGTAACCTCTGACCTGGAAGAAGTCAGTGAGAGGGGCCCACAGGACCCTTCCCCCCAGTTCCTGCAGGGAAGGCAGAGCCCTCTCCCTGCCTGCAGCCCCAGGCCTGGTCCCTCCCAGACGCCTAATTTAGATCAAGGTCCAGCCAGAAGAGGTTTGATCTCTTTATATTTTTATATTTGCACTACGGTCAGTTTGTTTTGTTTGCAGCCATTTTATTCAGTAACCTTTAGCCTTGTTCTCGTGTTAGTTTACTTCTCTTTTTATCTCTCACTGCTCAGAGGCCCAGCGGGCCAGCAGAAGAGAGGGGGTTTGCCCTGGATGTGGGGGGACTGTAGGCCACAGCCAGCTCCTGGAGCTCCTGGGCCTTTCCTGCCCCTGAGGCAGGTGGCCTGGGGGAAGTCCTTGATCTTAACCCAGACTGTCAGTGCCTGTGGGTGGCCCTCACCTTCAAAGCAAGAACTTCCCTTGATTCAAGCCTCTCCAGCCGGAGGAAGTGGAAGAGCCTAGTGGGACGGGAGGGACCTGTCAAATAAATAAAAAATAATAATAATATAATAATAATGAAATGCAATCAAACAAATAACTCGCTGACAAAGAGATATGTATGCCAGCTGTGATTAGTACTTAGGTGTTTTTTTTTTTTTAATATTTATTTATTTATTTGAGAGGTAGAGTTACAGACAGTGAGAGGGAGAAACAGAGAGAATAGTCTTCTGTCTGTTGGTTCACTCCCCAATGGCTGCAGTGGTCGGAGCTGTGCTGATCCGAAGCCAGGAGCCAGGTGCTTCTTCCAGGTCTCCCATGTGGGTGCAGGGGCCCAAGGACTTGGGCCATCTTCCACTGCTTTCCAGGCCACAGCAGAGAGCTGGATTGGAAGAGGAGCAGCCGGGACTAGAACTGGTGCCCATATGGGATGCCGGCGCCGCAGGCAGAGGATTAACCTACTGTGCCACAGCGCCGGCCCCGGTACTTAGGTTTTAAATGTCATGTAGTCTGTATGAAGACAGCTTCCAAGTCAAATGCAAGTTCTCTCTCCAAAGACACAGAAAAGAGAATGATCACAAGGTGGCCCCCTTGAATTTCGCGTGACTAGGTCCTGTCATCCAGGCGGGCGCACTAAGGAATCACAGCGCCCCAAGGGCAAAGCCTCTCGTTTCACAGTGGCAAACCGAGGAGTTTCAGGGATGTCCAGAAATTTGCTGCGGGGCACAGTGAAGATCTGGATTCAGATCCAGCTGCTCTGTCTCCCAAGTGACAGCCACCAGTGCATCTGAGCTATGTGCTTTATAAGTGTGACGTCACTTAATTCTCCGATAGGTTTCATTAGTCTCATTTTACAGCTGAAGACAATGGGGTGAGCGAGAGGCTGAGTCAGCTCGCCCCAAGTCACATGTGTGTCTCATTCCATGCCAAACTCCTACCTGCACGGGTCTCCGTCCTTGCCCCCGCCCCACACTGAGATTCTGGCCTCTTTCCTGAGGGGAAGATGCGCTCAGAATCTCTGACCCTGGAAAGGGAGAGGGTACTCGTACAGAGCCCCTGCTGGCAACCACTGCTCCAGGCTGGGGAGTAGATCGTGTTCAAGACTCTGCAAGGCTTCTGATGGAGGTGATGGAGGGCACGGGGAGATGAGAACTGATACTGCTACAGGGTGCATCCACTTGGGGCCCCACAAAGACATGTTCAAGCCTAAGCCCCGTACCCGTGTATTTGCAAATACGATCTTTGCAGATGGAATCAGGATGAGCTGAAACTGAGCTAGAGTGAGCCCCACATCTGATAACCGGTGTCCTTATCAGAGAAGGGAACTTGGGACACAGAGACCCAAAGAAGATGTATTCGGAGGGAGGAGGGCTGGGGATGGAGTGAAGAGGCTACAGCCCAAGAATGTCCACAATGTCCAGCACCCAGGAAAGCGAGGACAGGGCCAGGAGAGCCTGGGGAGGGAGCATGGCCCTGCTGACACAGCGACCCAGGACTTCAGCCACCGGGATGGCGAGAGAGTGGATTTCCCTGTTTGACACATCCAGTTTGTTAATGCGTGATGGCAACTCGGTTGCTCCATGGAAGATTGGGCAATCACATCCCCCAGATGCTAATATTGTCAGTATGTCATGTGGACTTGGGTAGCACAACAGAGGGCTTCAGCCTTGACCCAATTTATTTTATTATCTTCCTGGATACAAATAAAGAAAATGCCTGTCAATAAAAGCAGTGGATTGCACAAGATTCCAGAGCCGGTGCTGGAGGCAGGATCCATATTCCAAAACCCCTCAACAAATGGCAAAAATGGACTGAACTTTAATTTTCATTTATTTATTTTCACTTTATTTGAAAGGCAGAGAGACAGAGAGAGCTAGACAGGGAAAGAGAGATCTTCCATCTGCTGGTTCACTCCCAAATGCCTACAACAGCTGGAACTGAGCCAGTCCAAAGCCAGGAGACCAGAAGACAATCTGGGTCTCCCACATGAGTGGCAGGGCCCCAGGTGTTTGAGCCATCACCACTGCCTCCGGGATGTGCACTAGGAGGCAGCTGGAATTGGGAGCACCGCTGGGACTTGAAACCAGGCTCCCTGATGCAGGGTGCCAGTGCTAACGCCCACCCCGAATACGCTTTATAAATGAAATGGAAGCTTATCAAGGACAAAGTCCTTTATTCAGGTTCTGAATGCAGCAGGGAGGAGGAGTCCCTGGCTTGATGACGGCTCACAAAACAAGAGGTGCTGCTGCAAGCCTAGTACGACTCAATCATACACTGCAGTCGCTGAAAAGCCAACGCGTCTTTAGGCTGCTCCCGTGCCCTGGAGAAATGACACGAACATCCCAGGGATGTCTGGGCTGCTCGGGTCACATCCGGAGCGGCATTCAGCTCTGGGCGCTGCATTTTGATACCACTCAGCATCCAGGGAGAAAGCCAGGAAAGCAAGGGGTCTGGAAACTGATGCAATTGGGGGATGGGGCTGTTTGCCCCAAGATGAGAAGATGGTTTTTGTTATGTTAAATACGAGAAGAAGGGAAAGGAAAGGGAGACACTGTGCTAGGTGACACACAGGTGACAGGGCTCAGTCTGCAGGCACACGGCACACCTGTTTGTTCCGAAGCACTAATCCAAGATCACCCATGTTTTCCACCTCGACTTTGTCCATGGGTCTCAGGGCGCTGTGTGTTGCCTGTGGCAACCTGTTGAGGATGAGTGTGTGGCCCAAGCCAGACCAGTGAGTGTCTACTGAAGTATTTCATAGAAATGGTCGGGCAGAGACTCTCCTTCCCCTGGGATCACGGAGCCTGTAGGACAGAAGCCTGGAGTTTTCTGAGGTCCTCCTGCTAGGGTATCCGAGTGCTGCGGGGACAGCGGTGGCTGCGAAGGAAGGCGACCTCGGATCCACGCATACAAGACAGGGAGCAAAGCAGGATTAACTGAAGTCGGAAAGCTCCCACTGCAGCAGTCAGGAGGGGGCTCCGAGAGAGAAAACCCCCAGGAATTTGTCAAGTGGTGTCTTGTAAGCACAATACAGGTGAACAGAGTAAGAACTAACAATCAATCAAGGGGTGGGGACAGATCCCACCAGGGACCGGGCTGTCATCCTGCCTAGTGTGCTTATGAGAAAGCAAAAAGCCATCAGAAGGGTGGGATAAGTAACTTCGTCCTTCTATTCTCTTGATGAAACAAGAAACCCAGAGGAGTGGGATTGGTATTTTGTCTTGCTAAAGGCAGCTTCTGGACAGAAGCAAGCATTTTATTCACCCTTAAAGGGACTCCCCCTTTTCTCATGGCAACAGGGACCCGATCTAACCACCTCGCCTAACGCCTCTCGGGAGGACCCTGTTTGATAATGAAGTCAGCACGAGAGATGGAGACACAAAGATTTCTGCTACATCAAGTGAATGCCTGGCTCCGCGGTTCCTGTGATCTGTGATGTGCTCTGTGACATAGCACAATGCAATCCTTCTCTGTGCGTCTACCACTGTGAGCTAAGGCTCTTGTCATTTGCTGTAAGCGTGCTCACCCCCTCCTGGAAGGATGGCAGCTGTCTGATGAAGGCGGCACTGAAGAGCTGTAATGGTGCTACTGGAAAATGGTGGCAGAGAAATTACTATTACTATTACCTCGGTTCTTCGTCTCACGTGAAAGAAGAATTTCCAAGCAGACAAGCAGAGGGATTTAAAAAGATTTATTAGAGTCAAAGATCTCCAGCCAGAGCAGCATGAAGGGGGGCTTCAAAGAGAGGAAAAAACCTGAAAGGACTGGTAGCACTGGGATTTTTTAAGTACAATTTCGAAGGAAAAAAAAAAAAACAACTGGACAATCAGATTGGCATTCAGTTACCAGGCAGGGACAAAAACCATCAGAAGACCTGATTTACAATTCTCCATCCTGTCTGGCCTGTTCTTGATAAAACAGAAACCATCCAGAAGGGTGAGCTCCCTTGCTATTCTCGTGGTCAGTTTGGAGATTCCGAGGGAAGGAGGGCGGCCTGTTTGTTCTTGCTAAAGATAAACGTTCTGGGGGAGGAAGCAAATATTTTATACCCCAAATTCTACTGGGACCATCTGACTCCTCACAGTAGTTAATGTTAGTGAGCATCTTCTATAGGTACATATTGTGATTTATTCTTTGATTTTATTTAAAAGGCAAAGAGACGGAGACACAGATAGAGAAATCTTCCATCTGCTGGCTCATATTCAAATGACTCCAATGGCTGGGTCTGGGCCAGGCTGAAACCAGGAGCCTGGAGAGCCGTCTGAGTCTCCCACATGAGTGGTGGGGATCCAGTGCTTCAGCAATCATCACTGCCTTCCCAGGCGCATTGGCAGGAAGCTGGATTGGAAGCAGAGCAGCCAGGACTTGAACCTGTGTTCTGCTACGAGATGCTGGCATGGCTAACCTGCTGCACCACGATGGTTTTCATTTTTTGGTGGCTATATTTGCATGTCATTTAATGAGTTCAATGGTTCTATAAGACTTTCCATGAAAAACAATGGCTCTTGCAATTCAGGTCCCATTTCCGACTGGGGTGGGGGGGCAATTGCTTTCCACTTTGTCAGCTGATTCTTTATTGACTTTTCACTGTTGAAGATGGGGTTAAGCTCATTGTTGCTCTGTCTGCCCCCCCCCCCAACTTCTGTCATAATTGTGCTTCCATCAGTACTAACTGTTTACATTTCTGACTGAAAACTCTGTTCATGGCTGATGAAGTATACTGTCATAACATTTTCTTGCACAACATTTTCTTTTCCCTAGAGTTGATAATTGTCTTCATTACTTAGTATTCGGCTTATTTATTACTCATTCAACCTTAAACTCTCCCCTACTTTTATAAATCTTGAGTCAATGTGGTCAAGACATTAGGTTCCATCTCTCTGGGGAAAAGCCTGTGTGAGAACCTCTGACTGTACCTGTTGCAACCAGCTGGCATGCATCAGCAGCATTTCATTAGCAGCTAGAGTGCCCCTTTGCTCCTCCCTTTATGGGCTCTTGGTTCCTGGATTCCACTTCCTCTTTTTCTCATCAAAAGCATTTCATTCTTTTTGAGAGGCAGAGAGAGACAGAGGCCAGCAGAAATGGATCATCCACCTGCTGCTTCACTCACCAACAGGCGAGCCTGGGTCAGGCAGAAGCCAGGAAAGAGGACCTCAATCTGGCCTTCCCTCCCTTGGGCAGGGAGCCAAGTAGCTGAGCTGTCACTGGTGTCCCCCCGGGGTCTGCACTGGCAGAAAGCTGGATAAGACGCCGTGGTGCGGGACTTGAACCAGGCATTCCAATTCAGGATGCACGTGTCCCGAGCAGCTGCTTAACTTCTGTGCCAAGTGCCTGCCCCTCTTCCTCTCACTTTGACAGACCATATCTCCCAGGAACTTCCTGAAACGAGGTTTATTCTTGAGATCGTCTCTAAAAACATTTCACGCTTACACTGAATGGCTGTAGGTTGGACATCATTTTCCCTTGCGAGTTAAAGCTCTTTCTTGTTTCATTGTGTTTTAGCTTCCAGAGTTGAGGGTGAGAAGGCTGATGCCAATCTGAGTCTCAAACCTTTGTATAAAATCTGTTTTGTTTCTTTCTCAAAACGTGCAGAATCTTCTCATTGTTCCAGATAGCAGCCTCAACAGAGCTAGAGAAGACCGAGCCGCAGTCCCCAAGGAACTCAGACCAGTGGAGCAGCACATATCGGTTCTCTATTGTGTAAGAAATTACTTCCAAAGCGAGACGCTTAATACAGCAAACGCTTGTGATGCACAGTTTCTATGGATGAAGACTCTGGGCCCAGCTTTGCTGGGTGCCTCTACTCAGAGTTTCTGACAATGAGACCATGAGTGACAGCTGGGGCCCAGTCACCCCGGGAGCTTGCCTGAGGCCATTCATTTCCAAGCTCACCTGTGGGACAGTTGGCCCACCGCAAGTCCCTACTGGCCATTGGCTGGAGATGTGTGTCCTTCCTTGCCAGTACACCACAATGACGATGGTGCTTCCTCCTCCACAAGTCTTTTGTTCTAATATATTTATTTGAGAGGCAGAGACATGGGGAGCTCCTATCCACTAGTTCACTCCTCAAATGCTCTCAAAGGACAGCGCAGGGACTGAAGCTGGGACTCAGGAATGCGATCCGGGTGTCCCATGTGGGTGGCAGCAGCCCAGCGACTTCAGCCATCACCACTGCCTCCCAAAGGCTGCACCAGTGGGAAGCTGGAGCCAGCGGCCGGAGCCAGGAGCTGAACCCAGGCATTCTGATGTGACACACGGACCTCTCAGCTCCTTGGCCAAATGTCCACTCCTCCTCCACATTCCTGTTAGAAGTGAGTTGGGGGCCGTGCTGTGGTGTAGTGGGTTAAGTAGCTGCCTGCAACACTGGCATCGCTTATGGGTGCCCAGTTCTAGTCCTGGCTGCTCCACTTCTGATCCAGCTCCCTGCTAATGTGCCTGGGAAGGCAGTGGAAGATGGCCCAAATATTTGGCCACTGCCAGCCACGTGGGAGACCAGGATGGAGTTCTGAGTTCCTGGCTTTGGCTCAGCCCTGGTTTTCTGTGGTCATTTGGAGAGTGAACCTGTGGATGCCAAATGAGTCTCTCTCTCTCTCTCTCTCTCTCTCTTTCTCTCTCTCTGCCTTTTAAACAAATTAATTAATTTTAAAAATAAGTGAGTCAGTGAGCCTTGCCTTCATTCAAGGAGACAGTCTTCCACAGCGACCAATACCAAGAGGCGGGTTCCGTTCAGAGCCTCGTGGAGCTGCCTAGCACAGCCGGCAAACAGGTTGTGAGAGCACCGAGAGGGGCGGGGCGGGCGCAGGCCGCGCGGGAGACAGGACTCCGAGTGCGGGCGCCGGGCAGGCTACCCGGGGGCAGCTCCACGTTGAGATGCGAAGTGGAGCAGAAGATGACCCGTGCACCCAGGGGTCCGAGGACGTCTTAGAGGAAAGGCATTGCAGAAGCCTGGTGGCTTCTGGGAGCACTGTGGGTGGAGCACGGGGCAGAGGAGGCAGCAGGAGCAAAGCGGAACAGGAGGCGGGGGTTGAGGGAGGAAGCTGTGCAGGTGACCAGGTGCCTGTTGGGGGTCCATCTAGGGCAGGAGCCGAGGGGAAAGAGGGGAGGGAAAGAGGAGGTAACCAGGGGGTAGACATGACCCCTGTGTGTCCACAGTGCCAGGGACAAGGGATTAGGCCTCTCTGCGAGCCCCGGGGAATGCCGGAAGGGAGAGAGGGGCAACCAGTGTGAGTGGAGGGCGGTGCCCCCCACACTGCAGGCACGAGCAGCCCCACGGTAACTGTGAGCTGAGTAGGCACGGGACCAGGAGGCGGGGTCTTCTCCTGGCCCCATGGGGGAGTGAGCAGAGCTGGGCAGGAGGTGGGGGAGCCTGGCAAGAAGGCTCAGGCCGGAGGTGTCGGCCGCCCCTTGGGGCCCTGGCTCCACCAGATCCATCTCTGGCCCTGTTGACTGTTTTTCCTCCACACCACAGAGCTGTGTGGTCTGGCTGCGGCGTGGCCCAGCTCCAGGTGCACCTTGGAGCTCCATGAGGGCTTCTCAACTCCCTCCAGCGCCGTACCTGCCCCCCAGCCTCCTGAGTCTGGCACATCCTCGCCCTCCCGAAGCTCACAGAAGACCTTCAGGTCCTCGGCTAACTGTCGGTCACCTGCTGGTCTCACCGCCCCTCTGTCTCTGAGTGCCTGGGCAAATGGGGCACTTGGGGGTCTTCCAGATGGAAAAAGAGGCTGGACCTTTGCCCTCCTAGTCCCTGCCAGCACGGGCTTGCTGGGACTCCACCTGCCACCCCCGTTCCCTCTCGGCTCTGTGGGCCCCAGGCTGTTTGTGTTATGTGCGCTCCACAGCCCTCCCACTCCCCACCAACTCTGTTTGCCTTCCCTATGCTCAGGTTGGCCCGGGGTAGGTGTGTATGCGTGCGTGTGTGTGTGTGTGCATGTGTGCACATGTAGAGGCTTCCATGAGTTCAGCTCCTCACCTTAACTCTGCAAACTTCTTTTGAGGTTTGGTGTTGTCCCCAAGCTGTGCACTGATGTACTGGGGCCTGAGGTCCTCCTGGCCTGGGTTGACAGCTGGCCAGAGGCTTCCGGAAGCCACGCAGGCCACCCCTGCTCCAGGCATGACTACTCCTCAGAGAACTCTTGTAAGCAGGTGCAGGAATGATGCATCTTCAGGGGCACATGCTCACACCCTGAGGTCCAGGCTCCTTGGATCTGGCCCACATCCTTCTGGAAGGCTCAAGACGAACAGGGCTGCCTCCTTGGGGCTTCTGGAAGGTGGAACCAGCGTGGGTCTGCATCCCTCAGCTTTGCCTCCAGGTGGGAAGGGACTCATTCCTTTGGCTTCTTGCCCTCTGTAGCGAGGCCCAGCCCACAGCTGCCTCAGGCCAGAGCTGCGATTGCCCTTGGCACCGCAAAGGGCTGTGATGTTATGTAACAGGCCTTGGCCAGACATTCTGGTCCCGCAGGTACAGCGTACAAGTCAAAAAATGTTCTCAAGTGCAGTACAGCTGCCCAAGCACGCAGGCCTGGGGGGGGGGGGGGTCAGGGCAGAGGCCTCGGCAGGAGAGGGATGGCTTTTTCTCAGGGACTCTGGCCCCTAGGCACTGACCCCGGGCAACGGCAGACTCAGGGATGATGCACCTGCTCCCCAGAACAGCTTTGTGCCCTCACTGTCATATCTGGGACCAGTGGACCTGCCTCTGCTTCCCTGCCTGTCACCAGCTCTGCTGTGCCCTGCCCTCCCCGTGGTCCTGTCATCCCCACCCTCACTTGCTTCTGTGGGATTTCTTTTCTTTCTCTCTTCCCTTTTTAAAGATGCATTTTATTTATTTGAAAGAGTTACAGAGTTGGGGCGGAGGGAGGGACAGAGACAGGGAGGTCTTCCATCTGCTGGTTTGTTTCCCAGATGGCTGCAATGTCTAGGGCTAGGCCAGGCCAACACCCACCAAGAGCCAGGAGTTTCTTCCTGGTCTCCCCCATGAGTGCAGGGGCCCAAGGACTTGGGTCATCCTCCACTGCTTTCCCAAGTGCATCAGCAGGGAGCAGGATCAGAAGTGGAGCAGCCAAAACTTGAACCTGCACCCATATGGGATGCCGGTGCTGAAGGTGGAGGCTTAGCCCACGAGGCCACAGCACAGGCTCCTGTGCTGTGGCCCCTTCTGTGGGATTTCACTGAGAGGCCCACACTTTGGGGTACCTCCACCCTTCCCCCTACTTCCTCTTTCCCTCTCTCTCTCCCTTGCCTCTGCCCCTCACTGTCTCTTAGAGAGTGGGGCTGTTGTCCCTTCTCCCCTCCTCCAATTCTGCCCCGATCCTGAGCCTCTGGCTTTGGGCTCATGGGAGAGGCAGCCTCTGACCTCTCCATCTGCAACCCTGGGGCGAGTCCCTGCCCCTCTCTGGCCTCTGTCAAAAGGGACCGTGATGCTCATCGGCTCCTCTGTGAACATCAGGAAGGGGACACTGACTCTGTCACATGACTCAGGTCTTTCACATTCAGCCCTTCAATGCAGTCGTTCATCACCTGTTTATGAGATGCCCGGAACTGTCCAGGCATCTGGAAATGAAGACCCTCGGGCAGCCACTAAACCTGCTCCTCAGAATTAACTGGTGAGCTTCAGAAAAGACAAGCAACCAACCCTCCCCAGACCTACAGGGTTGAATCTGCACGAGCGGTCCAAGGATGCATGGGGGAGGGCCATGTTTTTACAGCAGCTCCCATGAGCCAGACCCCCAGGGTGGAGACAGAGAGGGAGTAGTTGAGGGGGAAATGGGCTGAGGGAGGGGAAGCGGAGACCCCAGTGCACTCTGGGAAAGCTGGGGAGTAAGGTGCAGAGGCTGGTGACCTGGAAGTTGGGTCCATGTTTCCAGACTGGCGAGGGTTTGAAGGCCTGCAGGGATCCTTTTAAAAAGCGACGGAAGGAATCATACAGGAAACACAGCACCTCCGCCTATTGCATCACAGTCAGTGCTTAGGGATATTTGTAGAGGATCTTACCCATAGATCAGCCTTTCCCTGTGTATTTCTTCCGGAGAACCACCCTAGAGTGTATGTTTAAGCTAAAAAAAAAAAAAAACAAAAAAACAGAGTCTGCTCATTTTGATAGCAGAGATGGGTGGAATAGAGGGTCTTTGCACAAGACAGAACTCAGGCGTGAGATACAGAGTGGTAGCAAGGTAGCAAGGTTTAGTGGGGCAGGGCATCCAACAGAATGGATCGGCACATCCTCTTCTGACCGAATCTGGGAGAGAGCGCCCAGCCGTTCAGACTGGGATAAGCAGGGTTTAACAGAGAATACACTTGCCAGGCCAAGCGGGCATCTCAGGAGAGAGCTGAGCACGCGGTCTGCATCCAGACTGGGGCTTATAAGGGAATGGGGTCCAGTTCTTCCGCTTCTCCCTTCCCTCTGCTGCTGGACAAAGGGTTTTCTGGGTGTGAAATGGGTAAAATTCCTCCCAAGGTCTTATTACCAGGGTTGTCAGACTGGGCAGCCCAGTGGCAGCGGGCAGTGAGGATTCTCCTAGGGGGCCTTCCTGGGGGGAGGCTGGGACCACCTATAACGCTGGGGCATGGGCAGGACTGTGTGGTTAGAACACCGGGCAGCTTCCAAGGCGTGCTTCCGAGGGTGCCAGAGGCTGCTCCCTTCATCTCTGCGGGTGCTTTGCCTTCCATGATTTCATCTCACACACAGGCTGGTTTCTACCTTCCTCCCTAACAACTCCTTCAAGTATTTATGCGATATTCAGATGTTCATAAAGCAGTTACTGAGTTTGGCTGCCCGAAGTCCACAAAGAAATGAGCAGTAAAAAAATCAAAACAGAAACACAGTTGCTCCGACCTGAATGCTTTTCCTGTTTCTTGGGAGTTTGCAAAGCCAATCAGCAGCCACACCCCGGCGGGCAGCAGAGTGCTCATTCTGCACCAGTGTCTCTTTCTCCTCTGCTGAAGCTAAAATGAGCACCTGCGGTTGTAAAATGTGCCCAGTGCTTTTGTTTTTCATTTGCCAATCATTGGAGCATCAGGCACTGGTGATGGCAAGGACAAGGAGTGAGACAAAAAATGGCGCCCCCTGCTGGAGCCTACTCAGCCCACAGCGCTGGATAAAGCAGGCAGATGTGGGGGGTGGGGGTGGGGTGGGAGGGTGTCAGAGGTGATCCAGTGTGAGGGCGCGAGTGGGACCTCAGGACAGGGCTGGAGCTTGGGTGAGGGGGCCCCGGAACGGAACTTTGCAAACTCTTACCACTTCAGGTAGAAGTAGAGACTCACATTTTGCTGATTTTTTTTTTTTTTAGATTTATTTGTTCATTTGAAAGGCAGAGTTACAGAGCAGAGGCAGAGAGACAGAGAGTTCACTCCCAAAATAGCCAGAGCTGAGCTGATCCAAAGCCAGGAGCTTCTTTTGGGTCTCCCATGTGAGTGCAGGGACCCAAGCACTTGGGCCATCCTCCACTGCTCTCCTAGGCGCATTAGCAGGGAGCTGGGTTGGAAGTGGAGCAGCTGGGACTCGGGCTGGTGTCCATATGGCGCTGCAGACAAGGGCTTTAACCCTCTGTGCCGTGGTGCTGGCCCCTGCAGTGGGTTTGAAACAGGATAATAAAGGTTCAT